TCCAGATGTCAGATGGATGTTGGCCGAATACACTGAATACCAAAAAGATGTTTGCAAATGAAGATGACAGTGTGGATCGTGACCAATTAGGGAGTATGAGAATGACCAGGAAGCAGTCCTGGTCAACAAACAGTTACTGCCTGGTTTATAATCAGGAAAGATATGTGTCAGAGCTGTGTCCTCTCACCATACTTTTCAATCTGTATGCTGAATAGATCATCTGCTAAACTGGATTGCATGAAGAGCATGGCATCAGGATTGGAGGACAACTAATTTACAAGATGTGAGAAACAGTGGACACAACCTTGTTTGCTGAAAGTGAAGAGGACTTGAAGGACTTACTCATGAAGATCAAAGAATACAGCCTTCAATATGGATGATACCTCAACATAAAGGAAATAGAAATTCTCACAACTGGGCTAACATCACAAAAAACAAAGACATTATTGAAGTCAAGGATTTTATTTTATTTTGATCAACAATCAATGCCCTTGGAAGCTGCAGTCCAGAAATCAAACAGTGTATGTTGTTAAGTGCCATCCAGTCAGTTCTGACTCATAGTGACCCTATATAGGGTTGCCAAGGAGTGGCTGGTGGGTTTGAACCGCTGACTTTGTGGTTAGCAGTCTGATCCTTATCCTGTAGCACTTCACCAGGACTCCCATACAGTGTAAGTTGTTAAGTGCCATTGAGTCAGTTCTGACTCATAGCAACCATGTATAGGGTTTCCAGGAAGGGGCTGGTGGGTTTAAACCTCTAACCTGTGGTTAACAGTCCAGTGCTGATCCTCCATTGTCACTACAAAAGACCTCCTCAAAGTGTTTAAAAGCAAAGATGTCACTCTGAGGACTCAGGTGTGCCTTACCCAAGCGACAGAGCTTTCAGTTGCCTTATGTCTGCAAAAGCTGATTAATGGAGAAGGAAGACAGGTGAAGTGATGTCTTTGAAGGTGTTGTGGATGAATACTGTGTCATGAACTGCCATGATTTCAGCCCTTGTAGACTTTAGGTTCAGCCACTGCATCCCGCCCTGCCCTCACAACCTCCTGACAGTTTCCCTTGCCCTTGTTGGCCGTCCACTTTACTAAACATGATGTCCTCCAACAATTGAGCCCTCCTGCTGACATGTCAACAGCAAGCAAGCTGGACATTATTCTATTGTAACCCATCAGGCTTTCTAGCCTGTATAAGTGTGGAAGCTCAGCTGAAACCTGCCTGCTGTAGGGGGAACCCGGATGGTAACTGAAATACCAGTGGTATAGCTTCCAGCATCATAGCAACACACAAGTCACCACATTACAAGAAATGGACAGAAAGGTGGTGGAGGAATGAGTTGTTGTTGTTGTTATGTGCCGTGGAGTCAGTTCCAACTCATAGCGACCCTGTCCAGGGGTTCCAAGGCTGTAAATCTTTACAGGAGCAGAAAGCCTCATCTTTCTCCTGCAGAACAGCTCGTAGTTTCAAACTGCTGACCCTGAGGTTCGCAGCTCAATTTGTAACCACTAAGCTACACCAGAAGAGTTAGCAAGATAATAGAAAGTGTTTTGAATATTTTCCATATTGAGTTCTTTTGGTTTTCATTTTTAAGAAATACATATGTAAATGATTGATGTTGTTAGTTTGCTGTCCTATGGTTTATGTAGATTTCCCATGTAATTATAAGGTAGTGCCCTGAAGTAATGAGAGTTTTCTTTCCAGGCATAGCCCTGTTGTACCTCCAGTTGTACCGGGTCACGTGCGATCAGACCTACCTGCTGCGGTCCCTGGATTATGTGAAGCGGACACTTCGGAATCTGAATGGCCGCAGGGTCACCTTCCTGTGTGGAGACGCGGGGCCCCTGGCCGTAGGAGCTGTGGTGTACCATAAGCTTAAAAGCGATTGCGAGTCCCAGGAATGCATCGCAAAGTGAGTTTTTCTGTTTCTTTCATTTTTGCAAAGCAAGCTTTGAGAATGGAAAGTATTTTCTCCAAATTCTAAATTGAAGCTCTCGCTGTAGAAAGATACTCAAAAACCAAATATTTTTAATGCATTCTTTGATGTAAGAAGGTCGCTCCGAGAATTGAAGAAGTGTATATATTATTGTGAGCATGTTGGTGGGATCAAATATGCTCCTTTTCTACTTAGCATGTGTTTGCCTAAATTGTCTGCCAGGATAAGCATGTCTCCTTGAGTTGTTTTACCCATTTGTACTATGTAATTTTCCTTTGCTTGCCTTGGATGCATGGAAATTAGCATGTCTCAGACACACTGTAAGGAGCTCTACTAGCATAGTGGTTACGAGTCGGGCTGCTAACCTCACGGTTAGCAGTGCAAAACTACCAGCTGTTCCTCTGGAGAAAGATGAGGCTTTCTGCTCCCATAAAGATTTACAGTCTCGAAAACCCTATGCAAGGTCTCTATGAGTTGGAACCGACTCCACGGCATATTGCCACCACCAAACACACTGTAATAACTAAACTAATCTTGGATTCAACCTGTAAGTAACTAATTAAAACCAAAAAGCCAGACCAACTGCCACTGAGTCAGTTTTAAGTTATAATGACAGGACAGAGTTGTCTCACAGGGTTTGAGACTGTAAATCTTTAGGAAAGCAGCTACTCATGTGTCTCTGCAGAGCAGCTGGTAAGTTTGAACTGATGACCTTCAGTTAGCAGTCCAACTCTTGGCACATTGTACCACCGGGGCTCCTAAGGAACTGATTAGATATGCTAATTATTGAACGATTCAGGAATACAAACTTTGATTGCACTTTTTGTTTTATTCCTTTTCATTCCTTCCTAATAAACTGAAAAATCAGAGTTCACTCCCAGGAACTGATAGGGTATCTGGCACTTGCCAGTTGATTAATATTTGTTGAAAGACAAAGACTCGGGTTAATGCCCCAGCAGTGACTACATTTTAGTAGCTTTGTTGTGTAGATTGTAATAGCTTTTTTCTCATTCTAGATCTCAAAATGGAATGTCTTCTCTTACATGGTTTAGAATATATCTGTTGTTGTTAGGTGCCATCAAGTCAGTTCCAACTCATAGTGACGCTGTACACAACGGAACAAAACTCTGCCCGTCCCGTGCCAACCTCATACTTGTTACACTTGACCCCATTGTTGCTGCCACTGTGTCAGTCCATCTCTCTGGGGACCTTCCTCTTTCTCACTCACTCTCCACTTTACCAAGCATGATGTCCTTCTCCAGGAACTAGCCCTTCCTACTAAATTATCCAAAGTATGAGCGACAACATCTTACCATCCTGGTTCCCAAGGAGCATTCTGACAGCACTTCCTCCAAGACAGAGTTGTCTGTGCTTCTGGCAGAACATATGTAAAGGTAGACATTCTGAACAGGTAGATGTTTGTTCTTAGTTTTGCCATGTGAGAAGACTTCGTGAAGTGCAGAAGATTTTATTGTGTCATCTAATGTTTGTGTTTTAAAAATACTAGTTCTTAAACGAAAGATCCACAGCAGTTAACTCTTGGACTACTAGGTTGTTTCCTGCTCCAGGAAGCAGGATTTTAGGCATCCTCTGAGAAAACAGCATTCTTTTGTTGCTTAGACTTTTGCAGCTCCAGAGAAGCATTGTGAGCGGAGAATCAGAGCTTCCGGATGAGCTGCTGTATGGACGGGCAGGGTATCTGTACGCCTTACTGTACCTGAACACAGAAATCGGCCCCGGCACTGTGTGTGAGTCAGCCATTAGAGAGGTACTGCGCACTACTGACCGCTCTGTACTTGTTCTCCTGTCTCTCCCTTTCAAACCTGTTCACCTAGAGCGACGTTAATGAGGTTCCTCTGTTCTGTGTGTTTGCTAAATACTATCCAGTCGGTTCTGACTCATAGTGGCCCTGTATAGGGTTTCTGAGGAGTGACTGTTGAGTCTGAACCACTGACCTTATGGTTAGTAGGCCAGTGCTTAGCACAATGCCACACCAGGACTTCTCTCTTTTTCTAAGTAGTACAGATTTTTAAAAGCATCTCATAAAGGTGCTTTAAGTTGTTCTGTTTTACCTTCTAGGAAAGATTTTTAAATCGTGTACTTCTCTTCAACCTGTCTTGGTTTAGCTGTTTTTACTGGTACCAAACAGCAGCAGCAGCTTCAGAAAGAATGCTGATTTCTCTTTCTTGAGCTGTCTGAACTGGTAGGCAGTTCAGGTGAAGGTAGTCAGGGGCCAGGACCAGGAATGGGGTTCTTTTGTCTTGTTCTCTCATACCTGAGGGGCATGTCCGTATCTGTATGACCGAGGCTAGTTTTGCACCAGCAGCCCACGGGAAAGCGAAAGAGGAAGTGGAAGATAAGCAGCTTCCTGTTTAATGACACAACCTGGAGGACACCCACGTCACTTCTGCTCAGACCCTTTGCCAGAATGTAGTGAAAAGACTGTCTCTGGCTGCTCTTGCTAGTCAACCAGATGCCCAGCTAAACCCTGAAGGCACGGTTACAAAACGGAGTGAGGAGAGATGGGCAGAAGGAAGCAGTTAGTGTCACTGCTAAGGAGCCATTCTGGGTGTGATGGTCTTCTGATCTGACTAAAATGTTTTCCCATCACAATGATCTCATTTCAGTGTCTTTCGTGAATAAAGTCAACTCCTCCAGCTTTTTCTGTGAGATATACTTGCCAGTCTTTTGGGAGAAACATTGCAGTTACAGAACAACTAAGTGATCTACCAGAGTTTTCTGTTATAATATAGACTACCCTTAAAGAAGCATTTTGAGTGAATTTTTCTAGATTCTAGTGCACGGTTTATAAACTTTTGATTTCTCAGTAAGGTCGTTTAACATCTCTTCCTATTCTGCGATTGCAGTCTAATTCTACTCGGCTTGTATTTATTGATTTTCAAAATAAAGATTATGAAGCTGCTTAAACATCTTGAGATTAAGTAATGAACATATAGATATAGATGTGTGTGTGTGAGAAGAAAGAGAGGGAGGGTTGTTTGAGTGGTGGTTACATGGCAGCAGGATGCCTGGTAAGTGTTGTAGGTTCATGAATGTCCTTATCTCTGCAGGTAGTCAGTGCTATCATCGAATCAGGAAAGACTCTGTCAAGGGAAGAGAGAAAAGCTGAGCGCTGCCCCCTGCTCTATCAGTGGCACCGGAAGCAGTATGTTGGAGCAGCCCATGGCATGGCTGGAATCTACTACATGTTAATGCAGGTAAATAAAAAGGTTCTGAAAGACTAATAAAGTGGCCATACTGTAGTATATTGGATTACATGTACAGTGAGAAATGAAATTCTCAGGCTAAATCAAGCAGGCTGAAATTAAATAAGTCTTCCGTGTGATTCACAGAGTTGGAACTGCATTGGTGAACTCCTGAGAGGGTATTCGTATGCGATTTTTTACCAGATTAGTTGTCCATTGCCTGTACTTTCTTCTGTCTCATGCTTCTTGAAGTGGGGACTCTTTTAATGGGAAAAACCCTTCAGGGAGCTGAAGGGGCCTCCACAATTCCGACAGAGTAGAAACATTTTTCATGCATAGATGCCCCCAACTTACTACCAGATGGGTTCTAAAGTTGTGATTCGTTGGCTATGTGGTTCTGCTCCCTGATGTCTGCTCTGCTGTGAGTCAGCACGTCGTCCCCAGATGTTGTCTCATGGTCTGAGTCCCTTCCCTTCCATAGGTAGGTACATAGCCTACTTTTTCCTGTATTTTAGTTATTGTTGTTGTTAAGTACCATACAATCCATTCCAACTCATTACAACCCTATGAGTATAGGGTTACCAAGGAGTGGTTGGTAGTTAGCAGTCCAATATTATTCTATAGTGCCACACCACAGTCACAAAGCTAATAAGGAGCCTAGGTTACAATTCAGATCTTTTTGACTAAAGAGTCCATACATAGGCAGTCTCTGGGTTATGAGCCAGATGTCTGCTTGTGTACAAGCCATAGTTACGAATCAACCCTGTTAAAGCCTATACTTTAAAAAAATTTGAAGTACATACAATGGTTTGTAATAACAGATGGTGCTATTTTGTGACAACTGATATTTGTGTATTAATCGTGTACCCTGGTAGAGTAGTGGTTATGAATCAGGCTGCGAACCACAAGGTCCGCAGTTCGAAACTACCAGCTGTTCCGCGGGAGAAAGATGAGGCTTTCTGTTCCCGTAAAGATTTACAGCCTCGGAAACCCTGTGCAGGGCCTCTATGAGTCGGAACCGACTCCACGGCACATAACAACAACAACAACCCTGCCACTTTGTTGAATCTTTCAATGAGTTCCAATAATTTCTTGCTTAGACATTGGGATTTTCTACATATAAGATTAGATAATCTGAAAGTAAAGAGAGTTTTGCTTCTTCTTTGCCAGTTTGGATGCCTTTAATTTCCCTGTCTGGCCTTACAGCTCTGGCTAAGACTTCCAGCACAGTAGTGAATAGGAGTGGTGGTAAAGGGCATCCTTGTCTGGTTCCTGTTTGCAGAGGGAAGGCTTTCTGTTTATGTCCACTGAGGGTAATGTTGGCTGTTGGATTTGTTTGTATGTTCTTAATTTTGCTGAGTGTTTTCCCTTCAATTTCTTCTTTGTTGAGTGTTTTTATCAGGGTGAATATTGGGATTTTGTCAAATGCCTTTTCTTCATCAGTAGATATGATCATGTGATTCTTTTCATTTACTTTATTTATACAATGGATTAAGTTAACTGTTTTTCTAATGTTGAACCACCCTTGCATCCCTGGTATGAATTCGACTTAGTCATGATATATTAATCTTTTGATAGCTTGTTGATATGTTATTGAATTCTATTGGCTAGAATTTTTTTGAGAATTTTTGCATCTATGTTCATTAGGGATGTTCGTCTATAATTTTCTTTTTTAGTGATGTCGTTGCCTGGTTATGGCAGGAGAGTTATGCTTGCTTCATAAAATGTATTTGGGAGTTTTCTGTCCTTTCCTGTGTTCTGAAATAGTTGAGTAAAATTGGTGTCAGCTCGTCTCTGAATGTTTGGTAGAATTCACCAGTAAAGCCATCTAGGCCTGGACTTCTTTTTGTGGGGAATTTTTAAATGATCTGATCAATTTCTTCTTTTGTTAAAGGTCTGGTGAAATTTTGTCCGTTATTCTTTGTTAGCTTAGCTAGGTCATGTTTTTTCTAAAAATGTATCTATTTCTTCTAGATTTTCAAATGTATTGGAGTCTAATTCTCCATAATATTCTATCGGTTATTTCCATAGGTTCTGTTGTGATGCTACTCACATCATATATGCGTGCTGTTTGCATCTTCTCCTTTTGTTAGGTGTGCCAATGCTTGTCAATTTTAGTAATCCTTTCTTGTTGATTCTATGGTTTCTGTGTTTTCTAATTCATTTATTTCTGCTCTAACCTTTATTATTTTTTTCTTCTGGTGACTGTAGGTTTACGTTACTGATCTCTTTTAATTGTTGGAGATGTTGTGCCAATATGTTGATTTCAATTATTTCTTTTTTGGACATGTGCATATATTGCTATAAATTGCCCTCTAAGTTCTGTTTTTGCTGTGTCCCAAAGGCTTTGGTATGTTGTATTTTCGTTTTAATTTAAGTCAAGGAATTTTCTATTGTTGCTATCAACCAGTAGCTTTTCAGCAGCATGTCATTCAATTTCCATGTATTTGATTTTGTTTCCTTGGTCTTTCTATTGTTGATTTCTAATTTTACAGCATTGTGATTTGAAAAGATGGTTTGTAGTATTTCGACGTTTTTAAATTTATTGTGGCTTACTTTGTGACCTAACATATAGCCTAATGTTCAATGTGCACTGGAAAAGAATATGTATTGTGCTGTTGTTACATTATGTAAATCCTTGAGGTCAAGTTGGTTGATTGTGTTGTTAAGTTCTTCTGTGTCTGTGCTGACTTTCTTACTAGTTATTCTGTCTTTTATTGAAAGTGTTGTATTAACACCTTCTATTATTTTAGAGTTGTCTGTTTATTTCATCATAGCTATTAGAACTGGATTGGACTGCTGTTAGTTTTGGTTGTTGAGCCAGTGTATGGTTGGTGATGGTAGTTGTGTGCCGTAGAGTCAGTTCCAACTCATAGTGACCCTGGACAGAGTTTGTGAAGCTGTAAATCTTTACAGGAGCAGAAAGCCTCATCTTTTTCCCATGGAACTTCTGGTAGTTTCAAACTGCT